CGGAGGAACGGGTCCAGTACCGGTCCAAACGACCCGTTAGTGCCCGGGCTGTGAAGCCCGGCTGGACCGGGGCTGGAGCTGCTGGTCAAGAGTAGGAGCCTCGTCAGGGCCGGAGCTTCCTGTGCCAGTGGTGTGGAGGACTGCTGGAATATAATGATAATATTATTATTAATAATAACTATTTTATATAGCGCCTTTAAAGGTGGCTTCTCAAAGTGCTTTACAGAGCAACACAAACCACAAGAGACATACCTGTATACAGTGAGAGGAGACAGTAGATGGAGGTACTGAACAGAGCAGGAGTAGAGGGGTGAAGAAAGGAACCAGGTCAGTAAAGGCTCTTCTAAAGAAGAAGGTTTTGAGTCTGGATTTGAAGCAGTTTAGAGAAGGTGACTCTCTGATATCCTTGGGCAGAGAGTTCAAGAGTTTTGGGGGCATAACAGGACAAGGCCCTGTCACCTGTAGTGTGTAGACGGGCTTGGGGGACAGTAAGGAGACCAGAATTAGAGGAGCGAAGATTGTGAGGTGGGGAGTAGAGCAAAAATAGTTCAGACAGGTACTGAGGTGCCCAGCCATGCAGAGCCTTATAGGTGAGCAGGAGGATTTTGAAGTCTACACATAACCTGACAGGAAGCCAGTGCAGGGACTCCAGGACAGGAGTAATGTGATCACTTCCACTACACCTGGTCAGGGTTCTGACTGCTGAGATTTAGACATACTGGAGGTTGGTCAGTGTGGATTTAGAAACCCCAGCGAGTAGAGCATTACAGTAGTCAATTCGGGAGAAGACAATTGTGTTGATCAGCTTTTCAGCAGCAGTTAGCGGTAACATAGGATGTAGCCTGGCGATATGTACATAGTAAGTCAAACCGAACGGCTGTGGATTTGATTTTGTGGGCCAGTGCTGTTGTAAACAGAGCAAAGGTGATTCCCTCCTGTGCGCTAAATAAATCTAGAAATGATCTTATATTCAGCTGTAGATGGAAACACACTGGCGACGATGTCACTGTGACATCACTGGGTGATGTCATAGGTGATGCCGAGGGTGCCCCCTTCACCGGAGGCAGACCGGGCGAAGATGAGCATCCCGTCCAGTGCGCAGGAGGAGGAGGACCCCCTGAGTGGTCAGCCAAACCCTGCGGCCGAACGCTTGACCAGTTGACCGGTTGTCAGGGACTCGAACCAGGGGGACGTTACCAGGAGTCAGAGCACGTCCCAGATCCGGCCTGCTTTCAGTGAAACATTTATTTCAAAAACAACCAAGAAGACGGACAGAACAACAGAAGTTCCTGCCGGGGAGGAGTGCAGAGAGCCGTGGGCCCCAGGAGGCCCTCGTGCTGGACGTGAGGGACAAACATGGCCCAGAAATGTCATCTACCGTGGACGCCCAGCGTGAGTATTGTCCTTCGTTAACAACCAGACTGAAAGATCGTGTTAATGATCTCATTGAGCAGTGTAATGTGTAATAAGTTTAGCGAAAATATTCTTTGATTACACGACGGGATACAGTTGACAGTGAAAACAGAAGGCGGTGAGGTTTGTCACACCCAGACAAGATCAATCTATCTCCAATCCCCTCGGGAACCGTGTGGTTTTGTAGAAGAACGAATGCAGATGTCCGCTCTCATTCCTTTGTGATATTTCCTGGACACGGGCTTCAGACATCTGCTCCCTGCGACTGTCGGAGAACTTAGGCTACTGCAAAAGCTGGAACTAATCATCTAGAGCTCTGCACTCCGAGATGTCTGGAATATGTCAAGATAAACATGCCCGACAGTTATCTTTGTATACACAGGAAGCTGTTAACTTTGTGAAACATAAATATTTAGAGGAATACGGGCTTATGTAGCTGTGTGCGTAGCACCGTGTGGTCTAAATAAATCTGTTCTTTAATAAATATGATTAAACAACATTTGTATTTCAATGAAGTCTTCTCCTTTGAACACTACATCGTCTTGGCGCCGAGGTCTGTAGCTCTCTGTAGGGTGAAGACGTAAAGTTTAAGACATTGGCTTCAGAACTTAGAGAGATTAACCGTAAGATTCCTGCAGGAAATTGCAATTGTCGATTCCGACGAGTAGAATTTAATGAGTGATAAAGCCTGCCGCTACACCAACGAGACTGCTGGTGCAACAATCGCGTTACGTCACAATAGTCGCGCTACTGTGCGTCGCAGTTGTAGTCGATGACGACAGATTACGTAATCACCGGGAACGGGGGAGGTGTCAGTGCAGTTAGCCGCACACGGGATCACTCAGCAGTTAATTAACAGCTGAGGATGCGCACCGGCAGGAGGCACGCCAGGCGGCATGCAAGGCCCAGACAGCGCCTGCTCAGAGAGATGGAGGCGAAGAGCTTTATTAAGCCCAGGTCCGGACGGAAGAGGAGAAGGCTGAGCCCGAAACCCCGAGTCCGGACTGCGGCCGCTCTGTGGGGACTCGGCAAGAGGCGGCGCCCCGTCACCACCGCCTAGCGCGGCTCTGCTCTGCGGGGGACTCTCCGCCAGAGGGCGCTGTGGCTCTCGCCATAACTGAGATCTCCGTTCATGTGGACACGACGCTCCGGTCTTAAACCCCGATAAAAAGTCTCTTGACTCACACCCTCAAGCGGTAGCTGGACGCGTCGTGCTTTCATTCCCAGCTCCCTGGGCTATCGCTCTCTCGCCGGGGGGGGAGGGCGGTGTGGTGATCTCTGTTCGCACACACACCTGCTGCTGTCGGTCTCCTCGTCGTGCGGGCATGCTCCGCGACTGTAGTCACAGCCACTGGAGAACCCGATTTCTGTGGCCAGTATCGGACAGATACTGGATCTAGCTCCCGCGACCATGCTTTGCCGGTGTAACAAGAGCAGTAGGAGGCGTGAACGCGTGTGGACCGGCCCGGGGGGTGCTGCTGTGTCCGAGAGAGGGGGAGAGGAGAGCCCAGATCCCTGGAGCGCTCCTGCCCTGAACACTGCAGCCCTGCAACCTGACCATCACAACGAAGGGCGGCGACAATCTCCCATTCATTACATGAGGTGAAGTAAATACTAGCATATACTAGTCATAACGATGGTTAGTGACGTAAGAGATTACGTTACACGTCACACCCCTCTAAAACTTTAAAAAGGGCACAGCGCCGCCTCTCGGACAGACCGCAGACATGGCCAAGAGGCGAAGACGAGCGTCCCGTCCAGTGCGCAGGAGGAGGCGAGTCAGGAGGTCCAGTGTGAAGCGCCAGAGGAGGAGGAGGAGGAGGACCAGGAAGCACCATTGAAACAGCTGGAGCACTTCTGGCAGGAGCTGCCAGCTCAGCTGCACTGCCCCCTGCTGGCCGCTGGACTGGCCTCCCTCAATAAAGCTGCGCTATAGAACTGAAACATTGCTTGCACCGTATTTCTGTGACTGTACCAAGTGTACTGTAAGTGGAAAGCGCTGAATGAAACGCGTCGCTGTGCGTGTGACGTAGCCGTGTGGGTCACATGACGATCCGTTGCCCGGTAGAGCAGTACTCAATATTACACTTATACTACAGGCTCAGGGGTTTCTGGAACAGATCTCTACGCATGACATCAGAAAGGTGTGTTTATCCCCACGTTATTTAGTTGTAGGAAGTCCAATTAAAAACTGCCTTATGGGCCCAACCTGCCTTGAACATTAGGACATTAAAATTCAGTTACAGACAAGACAGAGTCATAGAAAACGCGAATAAGACGAGAAAATAATGTATAGATTAGTGGTTATTAACCTATTAAATAAAGGGGTTAGAAGATGGATCGATATAGCAGTATGGGAATAACATAAGCAGCGATTGGCAGTTTTTTCAATTTTTTGAAAAACGTTCTAGAATTCCGCAGACTAACCAACCGACAGAATACCGCTTGCTGTTATTATTGATGTTGTTGTGGTTTTCGCCCGGATGTCGACCGAGGGAGGGCAGCGCTCTCTCGGGAAGACGCTTCCCAGCAACACCGAGCGGATCCTGCGGGCCCGGAGGCCGGGGGGCCCGGAGCCGCCGGCCGACGGCGGTGTCGAGGAGGCCTGCGAGCGGCTGATGGCTGAACTGCGGGTGACCGTGCTGGAGGAGCACGGAGATGAGGTAGGCCCCCGCTTCAGCAAGAGCAGGCCTGCGCTGACCACGGCCGGCCGGCAGGGGGCGCCCTGACTCAGACGCGCTGTGCTGTTACCGCCGGTCATGACGCGTCGAGAGGATGTTCAGTTTTTTTTACGTTTTTATTTAAACATCAGAAATTCATCAACAGAAGAAAAATATTAAAACCGATACAGAAATAAACCCACTTCACAGCTATAAGAATTCACAATTATAAAAGCTGAAAATTAAGCTTTGTACATATTTCCACTGTATGTATTGCCTTTTTGATTCTTCAAATTTCTGATAGAATTTAAGCAAAAAAGAAATTCTACCTTAAAATCATTAATAGAGGGAGCAGTATTAGACCACTTACGTTTGTGGATTCACAGATTAATAATAAAAACATATATTTTATCCAAATCAGGTCTAACAAAATATAAAATAATTTCTAAATCTCTAAATGTAACATTTAGACATTAACAATATTTAACATTTAGTTTAACAATAACATATTGCTAATCTAGCCAAAACAAATTTGTATATACGCAATTCACAAAACAATTAACAAAATTTCCTTCTCATTATTACAAAATACACATTAGTCATCTTGTTCGTGTCAATCTAACAGAATAAAGTCTATGAACGATCTTAAATTATATTTAACTTTGTTTGTAAGACAGTATCTATCAGCAATTGTCCAAATTAATTTCCACTTTATATTCCAAAACATAGTATTCCAAAAAGAGAAACAAGAAGGTATAAAGCGCATAAGGCGTCGTTTCCCAAGACGTCCATTGCAGCGTGCGCAGTAGCACTGAGCTACATGAATAAAGTATTGGCTCTGATTATGAAAACTGGTAACTTGAGTTTTTATTTCCAAATGGTGCCCGTTGGCAACATCTTTTACCTCCGCTGTCTGGCTTCCGATGTAAAACCAGGGCATCATTTCACTCTCAGGAGCGAAACAAGAACCCGAGCCGCAACTGGTAAGTAAGGGGAAACACGAAAACAGAGAACAGAAAACACCTCTCTACACAAAGAGTTGTGGGTGTCTGGAACAGGCGGACGCGGAATAAGGAAACGTTGTATCTCTTTTTTTTTTACACACGGACAAATTGGCAAGTCCAGGAGTTAGTCTTACGTAAAGAAATGTCGCTTAAGACGTCGTGTACAGAGTTTGGAAAGAAGACTTTAGAATCGTCGCCTGGACGTGAGGACGTGAGGTATTATAGGTGATTAAAAAAAATACGAGCGACAGACCCTCGTCACGTGATAGGTGTGGGGCCCGAACCCTGGTCACGTGTGCCTTCGCTTCGCCTTCCTTTTCCGTTGGCATAGTTGCAGCTGTTCGGTGTGGGGCTGTTCGGAGTGGTTGAAATCGTACGCTTTTACGAAATATTACTTAACATCGCTAGTCAGTGTCACCGGGTTTCGGTTTTAAACTCAGAATCTTTTTTAAAAAATATTTATTCCGTCGTGTTTATTTCCTGGCGGGTATTGCTGAGTATTGCTTCAGTATGTCGGCGGTGCAGCGGATGAAAGTCGCAAACGAGAAGCATAGCAAGACCATCACCCAGCGGGGACACGTCCAGAAAACCACGGTACACTCCCCGCTACACACCGATACCGACACACCACTCATCGATACACACGGATGCTGACACAGAAACTCGCCGCTATACATTGATACCGCTGCACGCAGTGCTGGAGAGCCCCGTACTGTCTCGAGTGGGACTAGAGACCCCTGTCCCCTGTACTGACTGGACCCGTGCTGGAGACCCTGTACTGACTGGACTAGGGCTCTCTGGGCCCCTTTAGTTGATATCATCTGTGACGTGCTGTATAAGGTGATACTGCAGTCCAGCTGTGACATGCTGTTCTCCTCTCCCTGTGTTCCAGCGCACAGTCAATGAGGACCACTCTCCTGTGGGCCCTTGGCTTCTGGCGCTGTTCGTCTTCGTCGTGTGCGGCTCTGGTAGGTCTCTGATGCCAACGTGCTCTCTGATGCTCTCTGACCTGCTCTCCTCTCTCTCTGACCCACCATCCTCTCTTTCATTCTCTGACCTGCCACCCTTTCTCTTAAATGCTCTCCGACTTGCTGTCCTCTCTCTCTCTGACGCTCTCTGACCCTCCTCATTCTGACCCTCCTCTCGTTCTATCCTCAGCCATCTTCCAGATCATCCAGAGTATTCGTCAGGGTGCATGAGAGCCACGCCGTGCTGCGCTGCAGGAGGAGCTGTCTCTGGGAATGAGCACCTGCCAGAAGCTCCCTGCCCACCCCTTTCCCTCACTGTCCTGCTCCCCTCCTCTTCCTCCATTAAAGTCTGACCCTCTCAAAAGGCACCCCTGTGAGTAGGAAACTGCCCCAAGGCTCAGGTTCGATCTGGGGGTTTCAAATTCTGTTTGTTCTGAGCCTCATTTCACATCCTGGATCTTACCAAGTAGGGCTTCTCAATCCCACTTCTGGGTACCCCATTTCCCACTGGTGCTTTTCACCTTTACTCCTGGTAGCTTAATGTGATCCCTTCACTACTGATCTGATCAACTAGATCTTTGTCATTTCTTCCCACTCTCCACATTCTTGCTGTTATTTTAAAAATAAAAATCTATTTTCGCTGTTCCTGAACTGACAACAATTCTAAAACAAACAAAGGGCAAATACATTGTTACATCTTGGACTGGAGTAAGATCTCAGACGGACCTGCTAGACCCAGGTGTCAGACAGCGCTGGACTGGGGGGTCCTGCTCTAGAGCCAGCTGTATAGTCAAGAGTGGGGCCATGGGGACTGATGGAGTCCACCAGGGGGCGCTGCTTCAGGTCCGAGTGACCAGCAGGCAGTGGATACGGTGTGTACAGTACAACTGTAGGAAACTGTTCAGTGTCCACACTGTCTGTTCATGTCAGTCAGCTCCCTATGGCCCTGTCTGAGTGTGGACCCAATCTCTCTGCTCCACAGTGCCCAGTCCTCCCCACACGGGACAACTGACTTCGAGAGTCCCTTGTGTATACTGGTGATGAAGCGGCCCCTGATGTCCGCTGTCTGTCCATGGCAGTGTGTTTCTTATGTTCACCCCAGTCTTCGCTGTGCTACAAGAGCAACTGACCCTGAGCGCCCTTCATTTGATTTTTAACTACCTTTCTTACTCACCTGCTCACTTTTATATTTCATTATCTCCCTGTTTTTTTGAGGGGGCTCTTCAGTTCAATTTGCCTTTTCTATCACTGTAAATAAATCCACTGTCCTCCTGAAATCCCCATTTCCCTTCCCTGCTGTGAAACCACCCTCCTACTACACCCACTCCACCTAGACCACTGCCTACTCTTCTACAGATGCTATGCAATGGTTTTATACAAATTAAAATATTTTCTCAAAAAAAC